GTCGCCTTCCCGACCCTCTGGGGGAGGAGCCGGGGCGGAGCTGGGGGCGTGGGGAGGGTTGTCGGGGATGCTCGGGAATGGCACAGCCTAGGGCACAGCCTCGGGGTTCATTCCGGGAAGAGGGAAGAAGGGCCGGGTAGATCCGCGATCTCAGTTCTGTTTCCAGTGTGCCGCCTCCGCGTGCCTCAGTTTACCTTCTGCCCAAGGTGGCACGGTAGGGAGATATCAGGGGTTGGGCTCCGTCATCTCTTCCCACTGACCTCCCTCTCCTACCAAGGTCTCGTTTTCGCCAGACATGCTCAAGAACCAGCCCAACGCCATCTGGCCCTCCGTCTGCTCGCCGCTCACTGCACGTCCCCTCTCGGCCACAGAGACCGGGGAGCTCGGCGCGGCGCTGCCTCGCGTCCCTTCATGCCGCCCGCTCGCCTTCTTTCTCTGCCCCACTCAGACCGGGAAACGGAAGACCAACGCGCGGCGCAGCTGCAAAGTCCATTTCCTATTCGCCAAACCGCGGGCGCCTTGCCCGCCGGGCCCGCCTTGCCCACCCACCCCGGGCAGCCTCGGGCTCCGCCTCCCCGGGCTCGCCCTGTAGTCTTTCGGGGCCGAATGCTCTCTCCTGACCAGCCTAGGGTGGGGGTGCGGGGGGAGGGGGTCTCAGTGTCCCAGGCGCGGCTGGGGACCTGCACCGGGTGGCGGAGCACAGTAGGCGGGGCCCCAGCCAGTCGTGCCCACGGCAGCTGCTGAATGTCCCTCCCACTGGTTTCGGGCGCAGTTTCGCTATTTATCATTAGGGGGCGGGTCGCCCAGATCACTAGACAGCGGATAATAATAACAGCTCACACGGACACAGAGCGTTGTTCATGCCAGGCCTTTTACTCACCTCTCGGGTCGTCCCCGCCAAGCCCTATGAGGCAGGTGGGACTGGCTTTCCCACTTCCCGGGTGAGGAAACAGGAGACTCTGGCGCTCTCCCCAGTCCAGTGCCCAGTAAGGGCACAGCAGGAATTTATCCAGACCTGGGATCCTTACCCATCACTCTATACCCTAAAAGGGATTAACTTGCCCGTGAACATCCCTCTTCACCCTAGAGTCCCCAAGAGGAGGTCGTCTTATTAACGTCGTTCTTTATCCAAAGATGCAGCCATAAGGACTGGTTTCCACTCAGCTTCTGCCCCAACAGGTGCGTCTCAGACCAACAAGCCTCTTAGAGATGCTTTTATGTAAAGGTGGTCCTTGCAGGTGCCCTTCATCATGGGGGTTACAGATGTTTCCCACGGAGATACCCCAAACAGGTATTTTCTCAGCTACATCCTGACAGGTGGGCCTCAATACACACACACCTCTGTCCTGCTGCCCCCCCCCCCCGCAGGTGCTTCAATGTGGCTGTGCCTCCTACAGATCTCAGGTCTTTCTCTCATGTGAGCTCAATTCTATGCAGATGTTCCTCATACAAGACTACAGTGGGGCCTTGACTTACGAGTGTCCCGACTAACGAGTTTTTTTGAGATACCAGCTGTCTCTCGGCCGATTTTTTTGCATTGAGTTGATAGAGTAATTTGAGTTAACGAGCTCCTTAACGAGCTCTGTCTCGGAACGAATTAAACTCGTAAGTCAAGGCCCCACTGTACTTCCTTCACCTCACAGGTATGCTTCTCAGCAGAAATCCGCCCAGGAATGCGTTATACAGCGTCCCCACCCGCACGGGTGTTTTCGTGTTAAGTATACCCCCGTATGGGTCTGTTTCCGTATAACTGAGTCCCATACAGGTGTACTTAAGTGCAGGTGTGTCTCATACCGGTCTTGCCAATACATCTCCACACAGAAATTCCTTATCCAAGTGTTGTTCATTCCAGAGGTGAGCCATGCAGCCGCGTCCTCAAAACCGTGCGCCGGAACGCCTCAGCCAGGTGTTGGTTACAATACAGCTGTTCTACACAGCTGTTTTCCACACAGGTGTGCTTCTGGCCAGCTATACGCCAAATGGGTGTGCTTCAATGCAGATGTCGCCCACAGGTGTGTTTCTTACCTGTCCTTGCCAATGTCTTTTCTACAGGCTCGCCCCCATGCAGGTATGTACCACGCAGGTGTTTTTTCATGAGGGACGCCCCATCTGGGTCGGCCCCAAACAGGAGTGCCTCATGCCACCGTGTCTCCATGCCTCGTGTGTCTCCACACCTGTGCGGTCTTACAGACGTCACCGCAATCCACGTGGGAGTTTCCTCTTGCACTTCCGCGCTTCCGCTCCTCTTACTTTCCCGCATTACAGGATTGGGTTCCCGTTACAGGTGCGCACGCGGCGCGGCCCCACCTCCCGCCTGGCTCCGCCCCCTCATCTCGTTCAGGTGCACAAGCCGGAAGTGCGCTCCCCTCCCAGGTGAGTGACTAAACTTTCCGGGTCACGTGAGCGGGAGGAGCCGGTGTGGTCCGGCCGAGCAACCGAGGGACGCACGGAGGGATCGAGCGAGGAAAGCAGACCGGGAACCTGAGTGAGATCAAAGACGCCCGGGCCAGGTAGGGAGGCAGGTCGCGCCGCCCCCCTCTCCCTACTCCCTTCCCTTTCCAGAGCCTAGGAATGCACTTCCCCGAGTTAATTTTTAATCTCTGACCTCTGGCGGCGGGGCACGGC